CCTGGCCCAACCTCCGCCGCTGGGAAAAACCAACCCGGGGGGCGGGGGAGGGCCAGGCCGGTGCAGGGACTTTTCCTGCCGCGCGGCCAACCTCTGTAGACCTTGGCAGGGAGATTTAGGAGAGGGGGCCGGGGGGGATCGGGGCTTCGCGCCTCCTCCAGGTGGAAATTAACGAGGACTATGCAGGAAAGGATGAGGGAATCCCTCTCTCCCCCCTCTTCGGCATCCTTTGGTGGTTCCTCGTTTTGCATACTGTATTTACCTTGGACTGGAACAAAACCGCTAATGAATCTCGTGGAATTCACCCAGATTCGGGTACCCAGGGCAGTAACGAGGTAGGTTCAGGCGTGACGGAGCAGCGTGAAGTAGCGGCATGAAGAAATGAGCTGAGAATGCACAGCGGCCGCAGCAAAACGCCCGGCAAACTGCAAGGGAGCGTCAGAAAATCTTCCCGTCAAAGTGATACCTTAGATGCCAACTTCTGATTTAGGTGTAATGAATTCGTCCCCACCCATCCCGCTTGAACGGTTATGGGACTTGTAAGGAGAGAGAGCCAACTTTAAGATAGATAGTGGAGAGGAGATTCATTCTTGATTCATTAGCTTTTCTCCTCGAAAATTAAAAGCAGAGGGGAGAAAAGGCAGCCAAAGCATCCTAGAAACAAAAGGCAAATAGCAACGCCGTGATTCACCCGGAAAGCGGACCCGCCCCCTCTCACCAGATGTGGCGGCGGTGGGTCGGTGCCAGTCACTAAAGCTAGGAGAGTGCACAGGGTGGGGGGTGAGGGGGAGGCCGCCCAGGGAGACCTGAAGCTTGGCCTAAAGTCTGTTGCCCTTGGGGGTGCTCGACAGGGGAGGGGGTACAGAGGTTGGAGATGGAGAAAGGAATGGATTGAATGACTACTTACTGGGAGGATGTTATATTAGAGAGCTTTGGGGCCCTGAAAGCTCTGTCCTTGCTCTATCAATAACTGTATCCCCTTTGTCCCAATCAAATAATTTCCGTGAAAGGGTGAGAAGGTGCTGGTTAGTCAGTTCAGGTTTCTTCATTTTGGAGAGAAAAGTGGAAATTAGAGAAAACAGTTGGGAAAGTAAGGTCTGGTAATAAAATGATCAGATAAGGAATGCTGAAGTTGGTACACGTATTGTACTCTCAAGTCCATTCCTGACTACTTTGTGACAAGAGAGAGTCTGCAGAGCCAATAGCAAAAATGGCCCAGACAGGAGAGGGTTTGGAGGTTGCAGATATTTGAGCAAAAAGTCAGTTTTGTTCATTTGCGTCGTCTTCACCTTTCTCTAAATCCCCTTTTATTATTTTTAAAGGTGTTTTGCAACCTGAATATGAAACACTTTGAAAAAAGAGTCTCAAAAGCTGTAGTCATGTTCTGTATGCCAGCTGTAGTGGTGGTTATGTAAATCAATACATGGGTTAAAATTCATAGATCTGTGTACACCAAAACAAAAGAGTCCTGTTTGCTCTATGATACATTTTAAAACAAAATTAATTACTTCGGGGGTGGGAGGGAGGAACTGTAGTAATGCTCTGGCATGATATTAATTCTGGTTCTGATCTAAAGAGCAGTTTCTGTGTTAAGAATGGGAAGCATTTTACAATTTAGAAAGATTATATATATATTTTCATCTG